GGGTGGGGAGGGAGAGTGAGGGTTATTTACTAACTAGATAGTAGATAAGAATTATCTTAGGTGAAGGGAAGGACAGCACACACTGCAGGAGAAGTCAGCACAACTGGACTAAACCAAAGCTAAGAAGTTTCCTGAATACAATCAAACACTTTGAGGGACAGTGTAGCAGGGGTAAGGGTCTGGGGACCATGCTTTCAGGGGACATCTAGGTCATTTGGCATAACAAAGCTTATTAAGAAATTGTTCTTCATCCTTTGTTGGTGTATAGCATCTGGGGTCTTAAAACCTTGCAAGCGGCCATCTAAGATGCATCAGTTGGTCCACCTGGAGTAAAGGAGAATGAAGAACACCAAAGACACAAGGAAAGTAGTAGCCCAAGAGACAGAAAGGGTCACATAAACCACAGACTTCATCAGCCTGAGACCAGAAGAACTAGGTGGTGCCCAGCTACCACCGTTGACTGCCCCGGCAGGGAACACAACAGAGAGTCCCTGATGGAGCAGGAGAAAGGTGGGGTGCAGACCTCCAATTCTAGTAAGAAGACCAGACTTGGTGGTCTGACTGAGACTGTAGGAACCCCGGAAATCATGGCCCCTGGATTCTCTATCCGTCCAGAAATAAAACAATTTCTGAGGCCAACTCTTCAGACAGTGATTGGACTGGACTGTGGGACATAAAGTGATACTTGTGAGGAGTGTGCCTCTTAGCTCAAGTAGATAGAAGAAACTAAACAGGCAGCTTCTGTTCAGAGGTGAGGTGGGAAGGCAGAGAGGCTTATGAGCGGGTTGAATGGACATGGGGACTCAGGGGTGGAAAGGAGGAGTGTGTTGTCACAGTATGGGGATAGCAATTAGGGTCACATAACAATGCATCTATAAATTTTTGTATGGGAGACTAACTTGAAATGTAAACTTCATTTAAACTGCAACAATAAACAAACAAACAAAAAGAACTGAAAAAGATGTCAATTATGCAAATTGGTTTTTAAAAAAGGGCCATCAATTGTTTCCCATTATCCCATGCAAAAGCTGTATGGGGTTTATTGACTTGTTACAAATTCAAACTCCTTATGCAGCTTCATTATCATAAATAAGTATGAAGTGCTTGATTTCTTTGTATCTGTTATTGCTAATGTTAGTTCCTGAACTCACTGGCATGGACGTTAGGGATCGCCTTATTCCTGTTTTCAAAGTATGCTTGGTAAAACCCTAAAGGTTCTAAGATAGTGCTTTAGGCCATCACTGGGGAGTGTGAGGGAACCCTGGTGGCGCAGCAGTTAAGAGCTCAGGGTGCTAACCAATAGGTTGGCAGTTCAAATCTACCAGCTGCTCCTTAGAAACGCTATGGAGCAGTTCTGTTCTGTCCTGTAGGGTTGCTGAGTCAGCTTGATGGCAACGTGTTTTAATGGAGGCGTGTGTAAGGAGAGAACACAGGCAGGGCCCCAGATACCCCCACTACCAGAGCAGCTTCGCTTTTCTATTTTATATATTAGGCTTCTCAGTAAGGTTTCATTTCACGAAAAGGCACTATTAATCCTTTTGTTTTATAGTTGAGTCTTGAGTTTTATACCTTAAATAATTGGAATGAGGACTTTGAATGCCATTAAGGCTAACAGCACTAGCTTTCTATCTAGGTTCTGAAAACTAATTTGAGATTGATAAAACAAAAATCCAAGTGGTTGTTCTGGTAGTTAATAACCTTCTGAGGACAGAGGCAAATGTTTGGTGCTCAAACATACTGCCTGAATGTGATAGAGTGTTTCTCATTGTGTGTATTAGCTCAGCAAGCAATGATACTGTAAAAGAAGACATTTCAGTTTGTGTCTAAATGTAACGAGAATGCTTTAATACTAAATGAAGTTAAATCAGTAAGAAGGAAAAGACTCAAGAGCCTTCCTTCATGACTTGAAATTTTACATGACTACATTAAATTTTGGAGGGAAGAAATTAACAAAGGCATATAGATACAAGGTATATGCCAGCTAAAAAACAAAAACCAGATTTCTCTGGGCTTCAAAATGCCATTGTTTTTATTACTACATTTCTCTGACCTCATTTCTTACCATTCTCCTTACTTTACTCCAGCCATAAAGACCTTTTGGCTGTTCTACAGGGCATACAGCTCCCACCTTGGGGCCTTTGGATGTGCTGTCACCTCTGCCTGAGATGTTCTTCTCCTAGATACCCACGTGGCTTGGTCAGTTGATTCCTTCAGGTTTCTGTTGAAATGCCACCTTCCCAAGGCGGCTGCCTCTAACCATCTTATATAAAATAACCACCTCACACATACATTCCCTAGTATCTTTACTCTGCTTTTTCTGCATAGCATTTATTGTATTGACATATTTACGTCTATTGCCATTTCTGCTCACAAGGGGAGGAGAGGCTAAGGACGGAGACTTTGTGTACTGCTGAATCCCCGGCACCAAAAACAGTGCCTGGCACAGAGTAAGCACTCAAATGTTCGTTGAATTGTGTTTTCATCATCATGATTTTAAAAAAATTCTTGTTGGGCTTATATGGCAAAAAGCTAAAGAAGGACTTGAGACTTCTGGAAATGTTTATTTCCCCAGCTTTCAAGAATCTGCTCTAGAGGCTCCAAACAAGTGGTTTCACTTTACGTCTATACTCCAGTCTACTAGGATTTGAAGTAAGAGGAGGGGAATCCAGTCAATATAATCTCTTTACTGCACTCAGGGGCTTAACTGTCAGCATTGACTTCCTTCCCTCCCCATCTCATCTCAAGGTTTTGTTTTGTTTTTTTTTCTCATAAAATGGTCAGGGATCCATGAAATACTGTGCTATGCCTTACACAGACCAGGCCCCCAGACTGACTAAATTTCAGCCTTATAACCAGCCCACACTAAATCTCTCCGGGTTGCAGGTGATAACCAAAATAGGAATCCTTCTCCATCACAGAGCTGAATCTTGGAGAAGCTTTTATTTCAGTGATCAAAAGAATGCAGTAAATGGAATCTATACTGATTAACGTTAGGCATGCACCTCTACCTGAAACTGCTGTTAGGTTTTGACTGGCCGAAATCTTTATGACTAATTTAGGCACATCTTTGAATTTTCTGTACCCTGAAATACAGGGGAGATTAACTTCTTCCTTGTGGCAATCTAGTAATGTGAATTATGTTTACTGGCTTGATTCCTTTACAACTAAAGGCCTCCAGGCTCTCAGGCTGCCTGTACTGCCTCCAGAGACCATACTTTATGTAGGTCTGTAAGTAAATCATAGTATAGGGGAGGGAGATAATCTAGAAAGTGAAGTGTACAGTCTGAATGCTCCATAGATTTTTTTCCCAGCACTGATAATTGAACACTAGATAAGGAGGCATGCAGTTACAGTACCAAATTACTCTTCCCCCTCCCACGGCTGTCCTTTCTGACACAAATATGAGTATCGATCTTCCCAGAGATACGAAAAGGAATCCACACAAATGACAGATTTTTACCTATGTGGTCCCACTATCAAATTACAGAAAGCAGTTCCACTCTCAAATTATAGGAAGCAGTTAATGGGACTTTGAGAAAATCATAGTCCCACATACAGTAATATGCATCTGGTAGAGTTTTCCATTCATCTGTCAATTATTTTCACAATACCAGCATTAAAAAACACAACCAAATACACATATGACCCTCAAACCACACACACACAAAATGGTCTTTGTTCATTCTCAGATGACAGGATGTCCCCAAAGTGAAAAAAGGTGGCAGCCAATCCCCTGGTAGCCTTTTCTTCAATCATCCCATCAACAGCTCTTCATTTGTTGATCTACCTTCCTTTTCCAAAGAGGTAATGCTGAGATCAGTCAGAAAGGCTTTCTGAGAAGACTGGCTTGGATTTCTGGGTCTGTTCCAGTCGATTCAAGATGAATTGGCTTGTATCAATGAAGCGCTCAACGCAGTTCACAAAACAGGCCTCAGCCCGACTGTCCAACTTTGGCCCAGGCTTGTCCATGCACTTCTCCTGCTCAGGACAAGATACAGAATCACAAAGGGAACTTGGGGGTGGGGGGAGTTACTTACTGATTAGAGGAAAAACTTTACCTAAAATAGAACCTGATGTTAATAATATCAACACTTGGCAGCTTACCATGTATCCAGCAATTTTCTATAGACTTACATTAAATTTTCACAACAACCTTATGGAATAGATATTACAGTTTCTGCAAAAGCCAGAACCCGTGTAAGACGGAAACCTGTCAGAGAAGGAAAACTCAAGTATTTTCTACTAACAGAGAGCGATAGAAAAGTGGTAAGACTGCACTCTGTCAAAGGCAGAAAACTTGCGAGACCCAGAAAAGCAAGGCAGTCCTGTCGAGTTCTGGCTCTCACAGGTTTCACTATATCATTAATCCTCATTTCACAAAGCAGGAAACCGTAGCACAGAGATAATTTGCCCGAAGTCATAGCCAGAAAATGGTGGCGCTGACATATTACAAAGCCAGAAAAATGGCAAAATACAAATGAAGTAGCCCTTCACTGAATTTGGTTATAACCCTAATTCCACTTGCATTAAATGCCTTCAAGTTAACTGCAGAATAAAAGGGTGAAAGGATAAATCACTGCCGCAAGACAGCCTAAAACTTAGCAGAGCAGAAAAAGAAAATCTATGACCTGAGATTCTGTAACCTTGTCTACTTAAGCCAAAGGTTCCTGAATCCTCTCAAAATGCGTGGAAAATTCTATGAATTTTCCTAAAGGGTCCATAGCTTACACGTTCTTAAAGGAGTCCTTAACCACACCCCCTCCTTAACCAAATGTCAAGAAATCAAAGCACTCTGGTCCAAAGCAGACCAGAGTTAAGCAAGCATTTGTTAAGGGGCATGGTCCTGCCATACCATAAGTTTATGGGAAAAGGAATTATGGAAACCCATTACTGTATGTAGTTCAAGTTAAGTAGTTCAAATGAATTTCGTTCATTCTCTGTGTACACAAGCCTCAGATCCTCCAATTCCAAGAGAAGTTATCCTTGGCCTCTGAATTCTGTGGGGAGTATACCGACCGTCCTTGGCAGCCAGAACACTTTGATCCCAAGCTGCAAATGCCTTCCACCCTCTTGCCAAAGTCCCCTCACGGGCCACACTCACTTCCTCAACCTTCAGACCCGAAACAGCTCGGCGTTACCAAACAATCCAGCAAGAAAGGCAGATAAGTGTGTATGCTGGGAGAGATTACGCCACTTTTATAGTTAGTGGGCTAGAGCCACTCATTTCTCACGAGGGAGGGTAAGAGCAACTGGGTAATCAAGGTAAACCTCGAGGAGTCCACAAATAGCAGATTCACTCACTGACTCCTTGGGACTTGGGCTTCTAAAACTAAAATCCCAGTGCTAGGGGCTCTGGTCAATCTTGGAGACCAGCACTAGTCAGCTTCTACCTCAGGCGCCTGAAAGTGTTGTGTGGGACAGCGGCGTAAGTTTTGTTTGATCCCCAGTCCTCTGCACCGACAAAACCGAGGTCCGGAGTGACAGTCCCCTGAGAAGTGGAGTCACCCCTTCTCTCTTCCGGCTCGGCTTGTGGAACCTGGGGAAACCAAGGAAGTGCTGCCGGGTCCTCCCCCTCCCTGAATCCCCGACCTTGTAGCGGGTCCCGTGGGGTAAGGGTAGAGGGAAAGTAGGTAGAGTGTCCCGGTCCCAGCCCCAGGATCCTCACCCAACAAAGTTCAGTCATTTGGTGCACCAGCTGCTGAAAGCGCTGCTTCTGCGTCTCCACCTCGATGAAATGCTGCAACTGTGGGTCCACAGTACCCAGACCCGCCGCAGAGGAAGACGAGGAGGAATCCATCCCAGCGCGACCACGCGTGCCGAGACCAACTCCGCACCAACTCACCGACCTTCACGTGTCTCCGCGACGGAACCGGAACCACAACCCGCCGGCTCAGGGACCGCCCCGTGAGCGCACTGCGTCGGCGCGAAGCTGGCCCGGAGGCCACTCCGCCGGCTTGCCGCGGCCCCATGCCCGGGCGCTGCTCCCGGCTCCGGCGGGCCCGAACTCCCGCCCGCGTCCACCCGGGGGCGCTTAACCTGCGTCTTTAGCTCGCAGGACTTGCCGCCCAGCGCCACTGGCAAGAGGTTACTTCCCAAAATAAAATTATGTATATCTATATATTTAAGTTCCTTCAGACCTCGTGTGCCGTTCCTGGGGGCCCAACAGCTCCGCCCCTGCCTCCTTCCAAATTGGCCCGCGCTTTTCCCCCGTCACCGTGGTTGTGGCGCGAGCTGCTCATCCTCTTAGTGCTCTTAGCCATCCTCTGCCCCTGGCTCAAACATATTGATTAAAATTGAGTTCTTTGATGGAGTTTCTCCCTCCTGACATAGGGAACTGAGGCTCTGGCAGAATTTATCCCTAACTTTCAGATTCACCCAAATATTTAATGGCTAGTCTGTGCCAGACACTGTGCTTTGGCTTGTGAATTGGAATTCTCCAAGAGCTTGAGGGGTTCGATGCCGAGGATCCTGTTGAGTTCTCCGTGCAGGAATATGTGAAACCAATTCCACATGTAACAGGAATACTGAGATAGGGCGCTTCAGGGAGGCTGCATGACGAATGGAGATAGCAGAGAACTTCAAGCTTTCTAGTAATTTTATTTTATCAAAAACACCCTCCCTTCCCATTTTTACGACACTGTTTTATTCTTGCCCGATTCTGCCCCCGCCCCCTACCTTCCCAAGCTCTAATGCCTACCCAAAGAGCTCTTGGACCTCTTGTGAGGCTATTTACATCCCTCCCTCCCAAAAATGTTTCCATCCAAAATTCAGTCTGTCTTATACTCTTGGGAAATTTCCGGGGAGGGGGGAATACCAGGCAAAATAATTCCTTGGCCTTTGCTCTCAGGGAAGTCAAAGAGGAGAGGCATTCCTAGATGGAGAGTGGGGCCTCTGTGTATTCAAGTGGGAGTATAAAGGCCCTAGGGCAGAAAGCCTGAGATTTCCTCAGAGAAAGTGAAATTGGGGCTTGTGGAGGAGAGGAATAGAACCAAGAAGCTTATTGGCCAGCTCAGGATTCTTCATCCACGACATCTAGAATGTTGCTCAGAAGAATTTTGAAAGTGGGACGTTCATCTGCTTTCTAAAACCAAAGAAAAAGTAGAGTGTTATAATGGACTGAAGTCCAGAATTCAAGGAAAATGCAATGATTAAGCAGCAAATGTTTATTAAATGGAAACCCTGGTGGCAGAGTGGTTAAGAGCTCAGGCTGCTAACGAGAAGGTTGCCAGTTCGAATCGCCAGGCACTCCTTGGAACCCCTATGGGGCAGTTCTACTCTGTCCTAAAGGGTTGCCATGAATCGGAATCAACTCAATGGCAACAGGTTTGGTTTTGGTTTTCTATGTCCAGCAGCATACCCTGTCGATTACAGAAGAAAGAAAGAAATAGACATACAGGCTCTCCATAAAGTCCTTGTGCACTTTTGTTGTTAATAACTCAGGTTATAAGCGTGATAAGAACAATTTGCAAATTATACTGACAAACGTATTGAGTAAAATTGAGGGCCGGTTCATTACATAATTGTACACCGATACATTCTTATTTTGGGTGGTGGTGTTCAGTGCCGTCAAGTCGCTTTTCAGCTCATAGCACCCCATGTGACAGAGTAGAACTGCCCCATAGGGCTTTCTAGGCTGTAATCTTTATGGGAGCACATCGCCAGGTTGTACTCAGGTGAAAAACGGCTACCAAACAAGTTTAAGTGGTTGGCCAAACTAACATCCTATAAGCTGTGAAAATTTTTAGTTTGGCTTCAAACATTGTTGCTGTCACCCCATATATACAAAATTAACAAAGGGAGTAAGATTTCAAAATCATGGGCTGTGTCACTGGGCAGGGATCCTGAGCACCTGGGACCTTTTATCACTGTTTGACTTCTAGACTGAGGCTCTTTTTGACATCCACAGTCCATAAGTCCCTGGGACATTTGGTAACTCAGGGCACACTCATGCCAGAATGGTCACCATCTGTCAGAACCAAAAGGTCATGAATTCCTAGGTCCTTTGAATCAGTGTTTCTCAAACCTTGCTGAGTATCAATATTTCCTAAGAAGTTTAAAAACTTCTGAAAGGGTCCCTGGGTGGCGCAAATGGTTTGCACTTAGCTGCTAACTGAAAGGTTGGCGATTTGAACCTATCCAGTGGTGCCGTGGAAAAAAGGCCTGGCAATCTGCTTCAGTAAAGATTACAGCCGGGGGTGGGGGCAGATTTCTGTGTCCCACTCCAGACATACTTAATTAGAATCTCTGGGGATGAAGCCCAGTAATCCATATTTTGAAGACTTCCCCAGGGATTCTGATGCACATCCAGTTTTGTGAAGCCCTTTTTTTGTTTTTTATTGCGCTTTAGGTGAAAGTTTACAGCTCAAGTTAATGTCTCATACAAAAATTTCTACATATGTGACCCTAGTGTCACATTTATGTGACCCTAGTTGCAGTCCTCACAATGTGCCTGCACACTCCCCCTTTCTACCCTGGCCCGTGTTGTGAACCACTCTTTAAACAGGCTGTGGAGAACGTGCCTATCTGAAATCGTTTTTAACTAGCAGAGTGAAAGTGCCCTAGTTGTGAGGGAGTGGAGCCAGTCTCCCTTAATCCTGCCTCACATAGGAGAAAGAAGGGAAATTGTTCCAAGGGGTTCTCCCTTTTTCCGCACTTTCCTTGGGACCTCTGTTCATTTGTTCAAGGGCAAGGAGCCATGTTCTGACTCCAGATACCCCTCTTCACCTCACCAAGAGGGCTTCAAATTCCCATATGTGCTTGTTGGACACTGTCTGTCTTTCCCTGTTTCTAGTAGGGGCAGAACTAAAAGCTGGACATCTATTTCCTATGAGAGATTTAGGTTGTCAAGTTAAGTTGCCAAAGATCTATTGAAAAGTGGAGAAGACACCTTTGGAAGAACCCAATGTGAGAGCAGTGAAGCATTTAGTAATAGTAGGACAGGTTACTTATTCCCCAAATACCACACCCACCCACATATCCCACAGTGTACTATATTAAAAAAAAAAAAAAAAAACTACCTATTTTAGTTTCCTATCATGTCTTAGGGTTAAAAAAAAATGTCATTTAGGACCTCAGGCAGAAAAGGTTGGCAGCTAGTAAAGTAGAAGAAAGGGCCTATGACTCCCAAAAGAATAAACTTTAATGACTTTTCATTTTTAATGTCCATACGCTTGCCTGGGTGCCTTTGACTGCCTGGTTTTCCTAGATGACGTGGCCCCACAGCACCCTCTCCCTAAAACTGAGTTGGTATGGGGGTCTGCTAATGATACTCTGGAGTCCGTGGGTGGCGCAAATGGGTAAGCACTCGACTACTAGCCAAAAGGTTGGTGGTTCAAACCCACCCAGAGGTGCCTCGGAAGACAGGCCTGGTGATCTGCTTCCAAAAGGTCATAGCCTTGAAAACCCTATGGAGCTCTTCTACTCTGCACACATGGGGTCACCATGAGTTGGAATCAACTCAAAGGCAACTAACAACAATGATACTCTAGTGAGAATAGGGGTAGGCCTGGGAAAGCCTCTGGCCATTAGAGGATTTGGGGTGCAGGCTGGGGTAAGGGAACATGTGCAGCTATCAGTCTGTGTCTAGCTGGCAGGTAGCCATGGAGGAGGGCCTGGGGGCCTGGCAGGTTACATGGGAAAGTAGGTTCAAGAAAATAATTTCAGAGGACACCATAAAACACTTACCTCATGCCAGCAGCTGTACATGATGGTATATACCCTCTCTGAAGCCAGATGAGGCCTGTAGAGACGTAGGCCTTGAGCAATGTGTTCAGCGGTCTCACTGTTAGTAAATCTCTCATATGGCATCTTCCCTAGAGAGTAGATTTCCCACATCAAAACCCCTAGAAGATTAAAAAAGAATGTGTTTAAGCCAGGTGGCAGTCTTTTTGGGTAGTTAGGGTCCTAGTCTTCTTATATCAACCTCAAAGATTAGAATCAACCGTCCCTCCCTCTGTGTTTTTTGCATTTGTACAAACTTCTGCTATAGTACTGACTACACGGGTTGGTGATCAGGGTTGCTCTAGAATATTAGCTCCTCTATGACAGGGACAAGGTCCCGAAGTGGTGCCAATGATTTGCACTCGACTACTAACCTAAGGGTTGGAAGTTTGAACCCACCCAGTGGTGCCACAGAAGAAAGGCCTGGCGATCTGCTTCTGTAAAGATTACAGCCAAGAAAACCCTATGGAGAAATTCTACTCTGTAATAGGGTCACCATGAGTTGGAATTGATTCGACAGCAATGGGTTTTTTGGTTAGGAGAAGGACAGCATCTTTATTTGTCTTTGTAGTTACAGAATCTGGCAGAATCCCTGGTACATAATTAACCAAAACCCGTTGCTGTTGAGTCGATTCCAACTCATAGCGACCCTATAGGACAGAGAAGGACTGCCCCACAGGGTTTCCAAAGCTGTAATCTTTACAGAAACAGACTACCACATGTTTCTCCCAGCGAGTGGCTGGTGGGTTCAAACTGCCAACCTTTCAGTTAGCAGCCGAGCTGTTAACAGCTGCGCCACCAGAGCTCCTTGGTACATAATTAGCATTCAGAAAATATCAAATACTGAATGAATTGTTTGCTTCCTCCAATATATTATAAGTTCTAAGAAAGCAAGGATCATTCTAGTTTACTGTTGTTATCCCCAGCAACGCCTTTAGTGCCTGACACATAGGTGGCACTCCCTAAGTATTGGATGAATGGCAGCAAGAACAGTCTCTCTGGGAAAGACGCAAGGTGTGAATTTTCCCATTGCATTCCTCTTCCTTTGGGCTGTATAATTTGTACGATCTTGTCCACTTACCAAAAGCCCAAATGTCAGATTTGCTGCTGAACTTGCTGTACATAAGGACTTCTGGTG